CCATAGTAATTCTGACACACCATGAGCCATTGCCTTGTATTAAGCTTCAGTTGAGAATGTAGCAACTACTGATTGTTTCTTACTCCTCCAAGACACAATATTCCCAGCAACCAGAGCACAATAACCAGAGATGGACCTTCTGTCATCAATACATCCTGCCCAGTCTGCATCAGTAAAGGCTTCCAGCTTCATGTGACCATGCTTAGCAAATAGAATACCTTTCCCTGGAGTACCTTTCAAGTAGCACAGAACCCTTTCTGCAGCAACTAGAAGAGTATCTCTGGGAGAATGCATAAACTGACTGAGAACACTCACTGCATAGAAAATATCTGGCCGAGTCATACAAAGATATAACAACTTCCCAAGCAATCTCTGAAACACTCCCTTATCAGACAACGGTGCACCATCTGTGGCAGAAAGCTTATGATTAGGATCAATGGGAGTGGTGATGAGTTTAGCTCCAAGTTTACTAGTGTCAGCAAGAAGATCAAGGACATACTTGCGCTGAGATATGAAAATACCATCCTTAAATCGAGCAACTTCAATGCCCAAGAAATACCGAAGATCTCCCAAATCTTTAATTTCAAATTCAGAGTGGAGAAATGCTTTTAGCTTACTGGCCTCTTCAATGTCATTACCCGTGACCACAATATCATCAACATAAACAATCAAGAAGGTCACCAGAGAGTCATTTCTCTTCAAGAACAGTGTCTGATCATATTGTGTTTGAATGTAGCCAAATGAGACAAGAGCAGCCCGAAATCTCTCAAACCAAGCCCGAGCAGATTGTTTGAGACCATAAAGGGATTTGTGTAGTTTACACACCTTGCCTTTCATYTCTTTCCCATACACTCCTGGAGGTAGAAACATATAAACCTCTTCATGAAAATCTCCATTCAAGAAAGCATTTTTAACATCAAACTGGTGAAAGGGTCAATCAAAGGTAGCTGCTAGAGAAAGCAAGACCCTAACTGAAGTCATCTTAGCTACAGGAGCAAAAGTCTCAAGATAGTCAATGCCATACATTTGRGTGTARCCCTTRGCAACCAACYTAGCCTTAWACCTCTCAAYMGAGCCATCAGAGTGATATTTAATGGTAAAYACCCATTTACAMCCCACTRGTTCCTTCCCTTCCGGCAAGTCCACAACATCCCAGGTATGGTTCTTATGTAATGCTTCAAGTTCAGTCATCATAGCATCCYTCCATTCAGGTTGAGACAATGCTTYCGRTACAGACCTGGGTATCACATGGGAAGAGACAGAAGCAAGAAAGGAATAGTAGGAAGGAGAGAGAAGGTTGTAAGATAAATGTTTGGAGATGCAATGGGCTGTACACTTTCGCTTGCCCTTGAGAAGAGCAATAGGAAGGTCAAGGTCGGGGACGGTCGAAGGTGGGTCGATAGGGGGCTGACCTGTTTCCTCAAGAACCGTGGGAGTGGCCAAATGCTCTTCTGAAGGAGTGGAAACAACCTGCATATGTCTGTATCTCYGCCTTTGGTAACACCTTTGGAGCGTAGGAGCAGAAGCAAGAGGAGGATCAAGGGGGTCCAGTGGAAGAGGTGGGCCCCCCATGATCAGACTCACAAGGGATGGGAAGAGGAACAGCTGTAGACATAGCAAAGGGTTCATCAGATTTCTCCCCCTCAGTAGGAACACTAAAGAAAAGAGTCAACTCTGCAAAAGTGACATCTCGAGATACAAAGCGGGTGCCACGAACTAGATCAAAACAACAATAACCCTTTTGGGTAGATGCATATCCCAGAAACACGCACTTATGAGCTTTAGGTTCAAATTTATGCCTTTGGTGACTATGAATATGCATATAACAAGTACTCTCAAATACACGGAGAGGGAGAGAAAAGAGATCCTCATCCAGGAAGAGAAGACTAAAGGGGGTTTTAAAGCCAAGGACCCTGGAGGGCATACGGTTGATTAAGTAGGTAGCAGTATGAACAGCATCTCCCCAAAACCTCACAGGAACATGGGATGCAAACAAAAGGGATCTGGCAACCTCAACCACATGTCTGTTCTTTCTCTCTGCCACCCCGTTTTGTTGTGGAGTGTAGGAACAAGARCTTTGATGAATAACCCCAAAAGTTTCAAGGTAGGTGGAAAGGGTTTTCTCAAAATACTCCTTAGTATTGTCAGAGCGGAATATTTTGATACGGGTATTAAACTGGGTGAGGATGAGTTCATGAAAATTTTTCACAATGATTGGTACTTCATCCCGGGATTTCATGAGATAAACCCAAGTATAACGAGAATAATCATCAATAAAAAGGATAAAGTACCTGTAACCCCCCATGGTTGGCATGTGATATGGCCCCCACAAATCAAAATGAACAATATGGAAAGGAGAAAATGATCTTTTATTACTGATTGAATAAGAATGTCTACAATGCTTTGCTAGCTCACATGACTCACAATGAAGACTAGATAAAAACACTCCTTTAAACATATCTGGGAACAAATGACTTAAAGCAGAAAAAGACAAATGACCAAACCGAAAATGACATAATAGAATTTTATTAACAGACTCTGACACCACTGACTCTAAAGCAACTCCATGAAGTGATCCCAAGGCTTGATCTGGTGTGTCCAGCAGGTATATTCCATTCGCCTCATGGCCACTCCCAATCGTCCTCTGAGACTGTAGGTCCTAAAAAACACAATAAGTTGGAAAGAAGGTTATGCTGCAGTTCATGGACTTTGTTAAGCTACTAACAGATAAAAGGTTTGTATTAAGCTTAGGAACATGGAGAACAAAAGATAAGAACAGGGTGTCAGAGGTTTTTATATCTCCTTTACCAGAGATGGGGCAAGTGACCCATCGGCCAGGGATATTTTCTCTTTCCCAGAGAGGAGATGGTATGAACAAAAAAGGTTAGATAGGCTGGTCATATGGTCTGATGCACCGGAATCTATAATCCAAGAGAGTTTATGACTACCTGAAGCTAAAGCATGATTTGCTGAGGCATATGTACCTGAGTGAGCAAAAGCCGATGAAGATGATGTACTGTTGGAAGGGTGAGTTGAATACACTGTAGCTTCCAGGTGATTTACGAGCCTCCCATACTTCTCAAAATCCAGTTTCATTGCAGCCCATGCTCAATAGTTGATTTTTCTTCACTTTCCTTACTTCCCCCGTCAGGCACTGTAGCAGCATTAGCAGTCTTAGATTTTACCACCTGATTGCCCTTCTTAGGGTTATTATTGTTCTTAAACCTATCTGGAAGAAGTTCAAGATGAAGCTTCCAGCAGATGTCTTTTGTATGACGTGGTTTCTTGCAATATTCACACAACTGCTCTCTTTTCTCAATAGATCCCTTCGATTTCATTCCCGCATGTGCAAAATGTTCAGTAGATGGACTCTGCAACTGCACCTGCCGCCTACTCTCCTCACTACTGATCATAGCATATGCCTGTGAAAGAGTAACCTCCTCCCTGGCCAAAATGTTCTGTCTGATAATATCAAACTCAGGGTTGAGTGAAGTGAGAAAACACCCTATTTCTCTCCACTAGCTTTTTATACATTTCAGCATCCTTTTTACTCTCCCATACCACTGTTTCCATAACATCAATTTCCTACCATAGGGACTTTAGTATGGAGTAGTAGATTGCCACACTCTTCTCCCCCTTGTCTTAAGTTCTTCACATCACTTTCCAATTTGTATGATCTGACTACATTCAGTTTCTGTGAATAGGTCTCAGTTACACTGTCCCATATCTCCTTAGCCGAAGACATCCAGAGATGGTGTTGGCTTATATGAGGTTGCATAGACTTGACTAACCATCCTATAACGGTATAGTTCTCTTACATCCATCTTTCAAACTCAGGGCCTGCATCTTCGGGTTTCACCTTGCTGCCTGTGAGATACCCAAGTTTTCCTCTACTACAAATATAGATTTTTATAGACTGTGCCCAAGCAAGTTAGTTTATCCCGTCTAGCTTAATTGTAGTAACACCTGTCAAAACGAAATCTACTGGAGCAAGTCCAAAAACTGGCACCTACTTGAACTCACTTCCATATACCTCCATTAATCAAACAAAAATCAAAAACAGAAAAATTTGACTATGTGAACTTACTTGAAGTCAAATCAAAACTTGGGTGCTTGAAAAACTAGGGTTTTGTTTCGTCCAGCAGATGGACGGGAGAGAGAAGACACAGTCGCACCTACCAAAGTAACCCAAACTCTTCCAAACCTAAGCCGCCCTCCTTTAACAGTCACAAGACATCTTCCAAACACAGAACGCCACACCCAAGCTTCATTTTTCTTGGTAACTCAAAAATCTCTAATCAGTTAGGGTTTCGGGCAGCGACAAGACAACATCACTTCTTGGCAACAACTGGCCAGATCTAAATTCTCCAAACCCTTCTACCAACCAGGCAAGTGATTATCTATACTATAGAGAACCTATCTCTCCATACACTCCCTTGATTTTAGAGTGTACAGGAACAAAAGAAAAAGAAGAAAAAGAGGAACTGAACCCGCTCTGATACCAAGTTGAGAATCAGTCCTCTAATATTAGGTTTAAATGCAGTGATTAACAGTACAAATCAGATCTAAATGGAAGTACATGAGCTGTGTATGTAGAAGAGAAGAGGTAAGAGAAGAAGTCGAATTAGTCTTCTTCCTCCTCTAACCCTAATTTTATTAAATTCTAAAACAAATTGACAAGTATACCCTTAAGTGGGCGGCCAGCTTACATAAAAAAAATAAAATAAGAACAAATAACAGGCCCATCAACATAAAATAAAAGATAAAGAAGGATATCACATAAGAAGCTGTTAGGGCCCATTCGGCCCAGTCTCTTTACACATTGAGAATATCTCCATACTTCTATGCTTTATTTCATGGGGAGATACTCCCAATGCAAGATTGGGAAAGGTTGTTAGAATGGTTTGGACACAAGTTTGCCCTGATAGAAGCCGATCTCCTTTCATCTACAAACTTAGCTCCACATATAATACATTGGAAATAACATGCAAGTTCCGCACTTACATAAAGGTTTGAATTTCCATAGCATATATATGCATGAATTAATTTTTCTACCCTATCCCTACGTAACCAAAACATATAGAATATATGTTTCCCATGTTATATGTGCAGAATTTTCTCAAGTTACAGAATAGGTAGCAAGGTTCCAATAACAGAGGTCACAATCTCAATACCTTTGGTTTGTCCGTGTGATTAGGTAACTACTTCCTTCAGACTTGGAATCTATCATAATCAAGCAGTAAGACATGAGAAGCTAATCACATTTCTCACTTCTCCCATTTTTCTTTTCTTATCAACCCTAGATCTACATCAGTAGTCGCCCTCAGACACAATCTCAAATCCATTCTCTTAAATATGCCAGCCCAAGATTTTACCATTGGACCAAGGAATGACCCCTAACCTTGGATCTACATCTCGAAGTTGCAATCTGTTATAGTATCGCCATGCTGTATAAGCTACAAGCACCAGAGATGGTGCCTACATGAATACATTGTTTTTCCTATTCAGAGCTGTCTTGCTGCCTAGTGCCATCACAGTTCAGCCAAGGAAGAACTTTGCAACTTCTTTTTAAGCCGAAGAACACGTTTTCTGTGTGAACGACCCTTTTGGTGTTGCTCCCACTCATGAGCTCCCCTAAGAATCCGACTTCCACAGGCCTACAGAAAGAGAAGTTGAAGGTGTGTTGATCTTAAAATCATTATTATAATCACATGCCACTTGGAAAACAGAAAAGAAAATTCTGATAGTGTCCCACTTTTAAGGCATTAACTAACCTCACAGATATGTTGAGTCCACAAATCCCTTGAAACTAATTTTGGTCTCTCCAAACCATTGAACATCTCTGAGTCGGGCACCAAGTATTCATCCTTGAACAAGAAAGATCTGATTACGTTAACAGAAGGTTTAACCACTTGTTCTTGCCATGATTCATCAGAGTTGCCTGCAGTTAAGTGTATTCAATGAAATAATAAATGAAAACAGGTAGAAAGTGTTTCTCACAACTAAATAGAAAGAAATGCATTGAACAGTAAATTACTCAGATTGTCACATACACAATATGGCTTCAGTTGCATCAACATAATGCAGATCCCAGCCAAAAAGGGTTTGCAATCTTGTGAGTCTCCTTTTCTAGAAAACAATGACATATTTTAGCCTATGACCTTTGACATGGAAAAATAACCAAAAGAAAATATGGCATGGCAAAGAAATAGAAATGCAGAAGACTTCGAAGTAAAACTGCTGAAAGGAGAAGTTAAAGAGTTAAACTTACGGTGTATGATAAATTCTGCAAGAAGCTAAATACAAAAAGTGAGAAAAGCATTAAAAAATCCAAAGACAAGGGAGAAATAAAAAAATAAAATAAAAACCTAGATGAAGTTGGATGCATCAAAGTGAAAATCAAATAACCCTAGTAAAGAATGAGGAGATCAAGAAGCAGCAAAACATTCTTTTCGGAGATTAATAAATAAAGAACATTTTGGAAATACAAAGGGGCCATTACTTGTAATGGCAAAATGTCAAGCCTACAAGCATGAAAAAAAGAGGTATGTCTGAGAGAGAGCATAGATATATTGTAGAATTAGGGATTCAGAGGTTGAAAAAGCCTTTTGGGAAAGGCTTTATGCTTGTTGGCATCCCAATAAAAGTTTGGAAATACTTAGGTGAGATGGGCTTATTATATTTGACTAAATTGTTCAATATAATATAAAACAAAGAAAATGCATACTGAGAGGAGTAGACGACATGAACTTTGGGAAAGGGTGAGTGACAATTAAGAGATGAAACTAGTAGTTTATAAAAGAACAAAAAAAATTGGATTCATGCTGATGTGATAATCTGGAATATATAGAAGGAAAGGAATGATCGAATTTTCAACCAAGTGCAGACATCAGAAGAGATAATCAGCAGGGCCTGTGGTACCCCATATTCTTCTTTTTCAATAGGTAAATAGAAATTTTTTCATTAAAAAGAAAAAGTATACAATCTAGCCAGGTGTTCAGGCAACACAAACTGTTATGATTTGGTATGCCTTGAAGTTCTATCTGTCTGAGATCAGTCACGTAGAAAGAGGTAGAAAGGTGAAAGAAAGAGAGAGAGAGAAAAGGAGAAAGTCTGGTTTGAACTGGAAGTCAAAAGACCATTCCTCCCATTCGGCCAGACAGTGCTTTTATTATTAAAATTAATTGAAAAGACATATGTGCCCTTATTTAAGTAAGGAGCACTGGTTCTAACACAACATTACAGATCAGCAACCTTAATCTAGGTAATAAAGACAGAAATACCCCTACGCTAACACTCCCCCTCAAGCTGGTGAGTATATATGTAGTCCACTCTTCCCCGACTCAAGCCTTTTGTAAATAAGTCAGCCCACTGATTTCCTGTATTAACATATGTAGTGTCTAGCTCTCCATTCAGCACCTTCTCCCTCACAAAGTGATAGTCAACCTCAATGTGCTTGGTTCTTTCATGAAACATTGGATTAGAGGAAATATGAACTGCAGCCTGATTGTCACAAATAGAGCTTCATTGGAGTATTGATGTTGTACCCTACTTCCTGTAGAAAGTTCCTTATCCACACTAATTCACAAGCAGTGTGCGCCATAGCCCTATATTCTACTTCTGCACTACTTCTTGCCATGACTGTCTGCTTCTTACTTTTCCATGTCACCAGGTTACCTCCCAGGAAAGTGCAATAGCATGTGGTAGACCACCTATCAGACATAGAACCGGCCCAATCAGCATCAGAATACCCTTCTATTTCAAGTTTTCCTCCACTTTTGTATATCAAACCGTGACCCGGAGCCCCTTTTAAATACCTCACAATTCTCAAAACTGCATTCTAATGAGGAATCAGAGGTTTCTGCATGAACTGACTTGCCACACTAACCGCAAATGAGATGTCTGGTCTAGTAATGGTTAGGTAGTTCAGTTTCCCTACAAGTCGTCGGTATCTGCCAGGGTCTTCAAACACTTCACCCATATCACYGCTTAGCCTAGTATTTGTGTCCATAGGTGTTTCAATTGGTTTAGCACCCAACAAGCTTGTTTCTTCTAGCAAATCAAGCACATAATTACTCTGGCACAGATTAATACCATACTAAGATCTTGCTACCTCTATCCCCAAGAAATACTTCAGTTTATCAAGATCCTTTGTCTGAAAATTATCCTACAGATAAGTCTTTAACCTGTCAATACCCATGTTATCATTTCCAATAATAACAATATCATCCACATATACCACCAACAATATTTTTCCTCCCGGAGAGTCATGACGAAATACAGAATGATCAACTTGGCACTGTTTCATACCAAACTTCTTTAYYACCTCACTGAACCTACCAAACCATGCTCGAGGAGACTGTTTAAGCCCATATATAGCCTTCCTTAGTCTGCACACCTTACCATCCTCCCCCTGAGCAACAAACCCCGGAGGTTGCTCCATGTAGACCTCCTCGAGTAAGTCACCAAGCAAAAAGGCATTCTTGATATCAAGTTGATATAGCGGCCAATCATACATAGCGGCAAGAGAGATCACAACCCGAACTGAACCTATCTTAGCAACTGGTGAGAAGGTCTCTGTGTAGTCAATACCATAGGTTTGGGAGTACCCTTTTGCAACCAATCGCGCTTTCAGGCGTTCAACACTACCATCAGGCAGATACTTAACCGTATAAGCTCATTTACAACCAACAGCTTGCTTCCCAGGAGGAAGAGCAGTGAGGTCCCAAGTATGATTATGATGAAGGGTAGAAAGTTCTTCCATCACTCGGCACCACCCTGGAGAGACAAGGGCTTCCTGGACATCCTTAGGGACAACAACTGAGGATAACAAGGTGACAAACTGGCGATGGGAGGCGGAAAGGTGAGTAAGTGAAACATAATTAGAAATAGGATGAAGGGTGCAAGTGTGTTTACCTTTCCGCAAGGCAACAGGAAGTGGAAGAGGAGGAGGTGATGAGGAAGAAAAATCACCGGGCCCCAAAAAGAACGGAGTAGACTCAAAGAAGGTGACATCAGCACACACAAAGGACCGCCGAGAACTAGGATGGTAACACTTATACCCTTTCTGGGTCCGAGAATAGCCAAGGAAGATGCACTTAAGAGAACGGGCATCGAACTTGTCATTCTCGGGACCAAGATTATGGACGAAGCAGACACACCCAAATACCCTAGGCGTAAGAGGAAACAGAGACAAGGCGGGAAACAATACCGTAAACGGAGAATGACCATCAAGGATGAACGTGGGCATCCGATTAATCAGAAAGCAAGAGGTAAGCACTGCATCACTCCAAAAGGGTTTGGGAACATTCATGTGATGCATAAGGGATCGTGTTGTTTCCAAGAGAAGGCGATTCTTTCTCTCAGCCACCCCGTTTTGTTGTGGGGTGTAGGTACATGAGGTCTGATGGATAATGCCGTGTTGGTCCAAGTATTCTTGAAATGATGAGGATAAATATTCACAGCCATTATCAGAACGGAAAACTTTAATGTGGGTACCAAATTGATTACGAATCTCAACATAAAATTTCTGAAAAATGGTAAACAATTCACTTCTTTCTTTCATTAGATAGAGCCACGTCATCCTTGAAAAATCATCGACAAAAATGACAAAATATCTATATCCATTATATGACATCACTTTATAAGGACCCCAAACATCGGAGTGAATCAAAGCAAAAGGACTCGACACACGGTTATCAACCCTAGAACGAAAGGGAATATGATGGTGTTTCCCAAACTGACACGACTCACAATCCAAAACAGAAAGTTGACGAAAAGACGGAACCAAAGACTTCAAAACTTTTAGCGACGGATGACCAAATCAGTAGTGCCACTAGAGAGGAGAAAAGGATGACTGGAAAGTTGTTGAAGTTCTACCACCACCATCAAGATAATACAGTCCACCAGCTTTAAGCCCTCCACCAATCTTCATCCCCGTCTTGAGATCCTGAAAAACACACATAGAAGGATAAAAAGTAATGGAGCATTTAAGTGATTTGGTCAACTTACTAACAGACATAAGATTAAAAGGCAATTTAGGAACATACAAAACTAAGGAGAGGGATACAGGGTCTAGGTCAACATTACCAACACCACAAAT